GACCCGATACTGTGAGGATGTCAGTTCTGAAACTGAATTGTAGTGTCAGTCTTATTGCAGTCAAAATTCTAGTCAAATTTTGCAAAAAAATTGAACCTGAATCTAAAATTTATATGTAAACATAGAGGTTATTTAAAATAACTTTTTAAATGACAATATTGGAATGCTGTTGTCACCTAATTTCAAGATGTATGAAGTTGCAATCATTAAGACTGTGTTATTGAGAATCAAGACGAAACAAGTTGGAGAGGTGGCTTAACCATTAAAGACTCAGACTTGCAACCAGAAAGCACTTCACATACTTGCATGGTCTACTGGCATTCAGTGAACATACAAAGACAGCTTGAATTGAATACTTTCTCTTTTCAACAAATGATTCTGGAGTGTTTAGTGTTGGATATTCAGATACGTGCTCCTCACCTCAGTTCATAGTCATACCTCATACAAAAGTGGATGCAAAACGTTAGAGAAAACCTCAGCATTCCTGAGTTAAGCAAAGATAGTTAAACACCAAATTTGTGATTCGCCAATACAAAATTTGTTACCATGAACTTCATTAAAATCAATATCATCTGATTTTCCAAATACATTAAATAAAAAGTCACAAAATGGGAAAAAATGTTTACAACAGTATATCTCCTTCATGGACTTTTATTCAGAATATACAAAATGCTTAAAACTTAATTCTTAGACATGACCATTTAAATCTACCAGATGACTTTATATCCATGCTCAGGTGCCAAGTATCTCAGAAATTAACCAACTGTGACCAGTAATAATCAGATATGTGCAAACATCTAAGTGTTAGTTGCATTAAAAATGAGTTTTTCTGTATGAAACAGTATATTTTAAAATTAAATGAAGATCTCTTTTAAAGGTTAAAACCTCATTCACTTTTATGTCTTTTAGGGTTTATACTGAGTCCAATATTATATACCTGCATTAGTTCAACTGTAAACCTAAAAATTTACAGCCAGTTTTGAAAGAGATGCATCTTTGCTCTGGAAATTGTTATTGAATATGTCTATGCTGTTGTAATGAAATGCTTCTTCTAATCATGTGGTTGTTAAATAATTTTAAAAAACTTAATTCTAGGAAACGGAATAACCCTATTAAAAGTTGTTTTACACCAGGTGTGGTGGCACACGCCTTTAATCCCAGCACTCAGAAGGCAGAGGCAGGGGGATCTCTGTGAGTTCAAGGCCAGCCTGGTCTACATAGTGAGTTCCAGGACAGCTAGGGCTACAGGGAGACCCTGTCTCAAAAAGACAAAAAAAAAAGTTTTAATCCAAGATGTTTGAGAGCTAAAAGACAAGTAAAACAGAAGTTTGAGAGCATAAAACATCATTGCTCAAAAGGGTAAAGTAGCTATCATTGCTCAAAAGGGTAAAGTAGCTTAAAACCATCTATCCTGGGCATAGTGAGCTCTTGTCTCAAAAACAAACAAAACTCCTATAAATCTGCTAATACACCTGAAATTCAAAGCAACAGAAACTGAAGGTGGAGAAACAGGAACTTTAAGATGCTCTTTATAAGACTGTAACAGTGCAACTCAGTTTGGAAACTAGTTTAACAGGAGCTTAAAATTCTAAACACCATATTGTAGCTAGGGCCTATTTCACATGTAGGATATTTCCCAAGAAAAATTGAAACCTATGTCAACTAAAGACTTTTATATGAATGCCTCTGCTAGCATTGTTAATAATAACATGGAAATAAGCCAGATGATCATTGACAAGGAATGAACAGTGTCGTGTGTATAGTGGTGTAACGCCCAGCAATGAAGAGGGAGGAACTGTTGAAACATAAACCATGAGTGATTTCAGAAACTCTATGCCAAGTGAGCACCCAGACCCGAAAAAGTACATCCAGCCTGTGTCCTCTAATATAAAACTGTAAGCATGAAATCTATATTAAAAGACAAAAACCAACCACTGGTTGCCTGTAGTAAGAAGAGCTACTGGGTCATAAATGACATTGCCTGTAGTTATAGTTTCACAAAAGGTTACATGTGTCACAACTTTTTTTTTTTTAATATTTATTTTTATTTTATGTGTATGAGTGTATTGCCTGCATGTATGTGAGTGCACCTGTGTTGTGCAATACGGCGGAGGTCAGAAGAGGGCTTTGGATTCCCATGGAACTGGAGTTAAGGATGGTTCATAGCCGCCATGTGGGTGCTGGGAATCAAACCGGGATCCTCTGCAAGAGCAGTCTGTGTTCTTAACTGCTGAGCCATCTCTCCAGCCCCACAACTTACATTTTATAATTTAAATATGTGCAATTCATTGTAGTCACACCAATAAATCTAAGGGCAAGGGGGTTAGTTCAGCAAAAGAGCCCTTACCTATCATGTCCAAGGTCCTGGGGTCAATCCCAGTCACCTCAAAATAAAGAATTCTGTTTCACAGTGGGAAGTTGGTAGCATATCTAAAACTGAAGAAAAAAAATAACAACAAGAAGTAAAAACACAAGTGTACAGCTTTCGGATATTAAGTTCAAATGCCCAAAGAATCATCTTAAAGTTGACCTTTTCATTTTTTTTCTAATAAGAAGAAATTACTTAGGGTAAGGTGGAACAAATATAAAGGATGTCATTTCACTATTGTGAAAAAAATAGAGGAAACTTCCTCTTTAGACAATGTGTGTACTGTTCGTATAATTTTCATAAAAATAAATACTATTTAAACAAGGAAGAGGGGGGCTTAATCATAGGTCAGGCCTATGTAGGCTCATTTATCTGTGAAATTCATTTACCAAAGTGGGATTGGCTTCAGTTTATTCAGATTAAGTATTAAATGTGGTTGAATTTTATTTGATAATTAAATGTTTTCCACTTTGTTTTGCTGGTACAGAGCTGTCAAGAGTAGTAAAAACCCAAAATATTTATCCTGAAAGGCAGAACAAAATGATTCCCTTCTTTTAAAGCTTGTATTGTAAAGATTAATTAAGCTTCTGTGTAGTTATTTTCTGTAGGTTATTGATTCAGGATTACTTGTATTCTAAATGTGCTGAATTATTTACACATTCTGCACAGCCAATGCTAATTTAGAACATACCCAGTGGGACCTCAGACCCCTGAAATGCTAAATGTAATCTGGGGATCAGTAACATTCCATTCATAAAATGTGTCACCCACAGGTTAATGGAAATAAACAATAGGAAAGACAATGGATGGATTATGCAAATACACTGAAAAGATTAAGCAGGGGGAGGGAACTACAAGAACCCAATTTGTGTTTTATTTAAATGTGGATTAAACTTTAAAGTATACAAAATGATTAAAGCTACTTTGCTAATTTGCTAATACATAACAAACTACACTGCCCAGAGAAAACTATTAAAATAAATTGGTTTGGGCTTTTCTGAAGGGTGGGGAGAACGGGAGACTGAGAGGCAAGATTAAGCAAGAACACGTTTTAACAGTAAATAAAATGGTAAGTATTCTGAAGAAGAACCCCAGTGACAAATTTAGAAAGTATTCACTTGTGTTTTTCTGTATTGAGGAACGCTTTATGAGACTAACACCCAAAATAAGTTCAAGTACTTTCTTTTAAAAGAAAGAGACAAGTCAACCTTTTATTGTTTCCTTTAAAACGTAGTTTCATGAAGGACATGTGCTTTCTAACAAAACCTATTCAAATAGTAGTGTAAAATATTCTCTCTCTCTCTCTCTCTCTCTCTCTCTCTCTCTCTCTCT